GTGGCTGAGACGTGGCCTGGCCTTGGCTGGGAGAGCAGTGCTGTTCGGGGGATAGCTGTCGGGGCAGGGTTTGCCTGGCACTCCAGGAGTTGGGGACAGGGCCGGGCCGGTTTCCCAGGGGGCGTCTCTTGGAGCTGACTCTGACGATGTTGAGGAGGCCAGTGGGCTGGGCCAGGACGGGCACTGCCCGCCGCGGTAGGGTTAGGGTTTGCGAAGGCCTGGAGCAGTTGTATGCGGTGCTGGCTGTGAAGACTTGAGTGTGTGTTTGTGGGGAGTATGTGTGCATATGTGTGTGGGTATTGGTGCGTGCACGTGTGTGTGTGATGAGGGTGGGAGGGAAGGGCATCAAGGGTTTTGAGGCTTTTTTCTTCCGTATTAAAAAAAAAAAATGAAAAGCTTTACTTTGTCTTACTTCCCCCAAAATAGTACCCACTCTATAGAAAACTGAGACCAGATAAGCAGAGTGAAGGAGGTGCAGAATCGCCTGCATGCCCGTCGCGGGTGTCGGTACTTGGGCTTGCCCGGAACTCTTCCCAGTCCTGTTTTTATTATGCATCCTTTACGGAATTTCCACCTCACGTGTAACTGCTGGGACTGTTCATGGACTGGCTTTCTCCACCTGAGGGAGGCAGAGCCACCTGCTGGGTGGGTCCGGGGGGGGGAGGGAAGGCTGATGGAGGGGGCTAAGCAGGGAGCCCACAGTCTGGCTGGGGAGCCCCGTGAAGGCGCTGGCCGTGCGGGAGGGAGTGGGCATGGGGAGTGGGCCCGGGTCTTGTGTTTGGTGAGGATGCACTGTGACGTGGACTCCTGGCTCTGGGTCCTGGCCTCCGCCGCTGCCCGTGCAGATGCGCCAGTGGAGGCTCTGTGATGCTGCAGCCTTTCCTGGGTCCACAGAGCCCGGGCGAGAGTCCCGGCTCCCTGCCGCGTGGCCTTCTGCTCCTGTGTCAGGTGGGAGGCCAGGGGAGGAAGGGCCCGGGCTGGAGTGGGAGCGCGGGCTCGGTGGCCGCCTGCCCGCAGCGAGTCCCAGGCTCACTCTTTGGTTGCACTGGGTGTGGCCTTGGGCCCTTGCTGCATCTCTGTGCCTGGGTTTCTCACCTGTGGGTGGGAACAGTGGTGGTCTCTACTGTGTAGAGGCGTTGGGTGGTGAGTGAGGTCCTGCACTGAAACACTCAGAGCCCCGCACACAGGAAGTGCTGCAAAACGGGGGCCTCCCCCTGCCCCGCTCCCTCTCCCCTCTCCCGTCCCCCCGCCCCTCCTTCCTCCCTCTCCCCTCCTCTCTCTCCCCTCCCCCGCCCCTTCCTCCTCCGTCTCCCCCCTCCTCTCCCCCCTCTCCCCTCCCCACGTCCCTTCCTCCTCCCTTCCCCCTCCTCCCTCTCCCCTCCTCCGGCCCCTTCCTCCTCTCTCTCCCCTCCTAGCGTCATTGTTGTTGTTGCCCCCAGCGCAGGGTCGGCAGGGGTGCTGCTGGGATGGGTTCATCTCGTCCCCTCCCTCTGGCTCCAGTTCCCTCTGGAGGGGGCTCTGCAGACCCAGGGAGGAGCAGACTGAACGCCTCCCCTCATTGGAGCAGCTATCACTCTGTCCAGTGTTTCAGGGACCCCCAACGCTGGGGACTGAAGTGCGGCCGGAGGCTCCCTTCACCAGAGGGTCTGGCCAGGGTCAGGGGTGGCCGATCGTGTCTGCTGGCCCTGAGGGCCGTGGCACCCTGCAGCAGGAGCTGCGAGTGGGGACCCGCGGGTGGGAGGCCTGCCGCTGGCCTTGGCGCTGGGCCCTCTGACCGGGGCTCCTCCCCTCTCTGGCCGCAGGCTCCTGGGGGTGTCGGGAGGTCCTGGGGGGAGAAGGGCTTTCAGGGTTGGAAGTACCTGGGGCACGTCCGTCCCCTCCCTGAGAACTGAATTAGGAAAGGAAGGCGTCAGAGGAGCCCGCCACCTTCCCCAGGTGCTCCTGGGGCGCTGTGTTGGCCGCATTGATTTTAGAAGGCGGGAAACCATTTCCCTTTCCTGACGGGCGCCCCCCCCGAACTGTGTCAAACACTAGCTAATCAGTCCACATGTGTGGTCTTCCTGCTGAGGGGCTCCGGGCCTGGGGGCCTGGACCTGGGGAACCCTGGTGCTCAGCTGGCTTCCTGCCCTGTGGGCTGGGAAGGAGGGCTGAGGGGGAATTCGGATCTGGGGGTTAGGCCACGGGTGGGGAGGAGAGGCCATGGGGGTGGTGAGGCTCCCTATGCGCACCTCCTCTGACTGGCCCCCAGCCACAGCCCTCTGAGTGGTTCTGTAACCGCTTTGAGATATATTTTACATACCATACAGGTCACCCATTTACAATGTACAATTTAGTGGTTTTTGGTATATTCACAACATTGTGCAGTCATCACCACAATCTAATTCTAGAACATTCTCACACCCAAACAGAAACCCTGTACACGTAGCCGTCACTCCCCACTCCTACCCCTAATCTGCCTAGTCTACGTTCTGTCCCTGTAGATTTGTCTGTTCTGAACATTTCATAGAAAGGGAATCAGACCACAGGTGGGCCTCTGTGGCGGCTTCTTTCCCCCAGCAGTGTCTTCAAGGTCTGTCGTCGTAGCCTTTATCAGAGCATCACTGTTAGCATTTTAATCTGTTTCCTTCCAGTCCTTTGTCTGGGCGTGTGCGTAGTTTTGATTGTGACGTAATTAACGTACAGTGACATGCACAGGTCTCCTCTGTTTGGTTTGGTGAATTTTGATGACTGTATTCACCTGTGTAACCACCAACAAAAACCAGACACAATGTTTCCATCCCCCAGAAAGTTTCTCTGGCTCCTTGCAGCCGCTGCACTCCCGCCGCTGTCTGAGATCTGTGAGCATTGCTGCTCTGGGGTGTCACATAGACGGTGTCGTGCGGCGTGGACTCCTGTTGGTCTGGCTTCTTGTGCCTGACGTGATGCTTCTGTGAATCCCGCATGCGCCCCGTGCCTCGGCAGGTGAGAAGTCTTCTGGAGGACGGTGGACCACGGTCTGCCCCTTCTCCTGTGGTCTCAGCGTCTGGGCTGTTTTCACGTTGGGAAGTGGCTCTTGGGGTGCAGGGTGTGGTCCCTTCATCCCCATCCTCTTGCAGGGGCTTGAGCGGCTTTGTCCCCCGAGGAGGTGCGTCTGAGGCCGGGTGCCCGGTGCAGCCCCGTGTCACTGCCTGTGCCCCAGCACTGAGCGTCCCCACGGAGTTGCGTCGTCTGGGTTCGCCAGCCTCTGGTCTCTCACGAGTTCCTTTCTCTCGTGTCAAGGGGTCATGTGCATTTCTTTGGCTCATCTACGCACATCGTTGCTTTGTTTACGTTGCCTTTGAATGTGTTTAAAAATCAGTTTGTGGGAGTGCTTTCTATGTGAAAGGTAGCAGCCTTTGTCATATCGGTGGCAAATATGTTTCCACTTTCTTGGTTGCCTTTTAATTTTGCCAGTGGTGCATTTTGATTTTCAAAAGCTTTTTATTTAGTATGCCACCAAATCTATTTTCTATGTGTGTGTGTGTGTGTGTGTGTGTGTGTGTGTGTGTGTGTAACATGGCTTCTGTATTTGGGAGATGTTTTCTTTTGGTTTGTTTCAGTGTTTTATTTTTATTCATTTTTAAACTATGTAACCCTTTAATTCATCAGGACTTATTTTTGTTTGGATTTCGGGATGAGGAGCTGGCTTAGATGTTTTTCAGATTGCTCGTTGGTTTGTCTGAGTGTTGACTCCCAGTCACTGACGGACTCCGGCTCAAGCTCCGGGAGAAATGGCGTCTGAGCGTGCTGGCCACCTCTCCGTGGCCCACGAGGGCCGGGGCTGATGTCTTGGTCGCACAGAGATGCAGTGGGAGGGCCAGGGGCCCAGGGCTGTGTCTTCCTGTGTCAGGACCCCCAGTGTGCGGGGCTGGGGGCAGGTGCTGGCTCTTAGGAAGCCCACGGCCGTGACCATGGCGTGGACTGTGGGCATGGTGTTACTTTTTCATTGTGAATGCCTTGATTTGCTAATTTAAGGGTTAGGGCTTTGAGAGATCCTGACAAATTGGACGCGGACTTAACCAGGAGGTGCATCGAGGGCTGCCTGGTGGGCTGAGCACACAGACTGGCTACTGCCAGGAAGCATCCCAGGGAGCAGAGGAAGCTGGCACTGCCCCCCTGCCCCGGGCCCATCCTGCTAGCGCACCTTCTTCTGTCCTGGGTGGGAACGTCTCTGGCAGGGACTCAGAGGCAAGTGAGGGGACAGGCCTTGCACTGTGGTGGACCCCTGCCCCCCACAGGCACAGATTGGCTGCTGCCCCTGCCCATTGTGGGCCAGGTACCTCGAGGGCAGCAGCCGGGAGATCGCCCCTGACCATGGGTGCCTGCGAGCCCTGCGAGGTGTGTGGTAGCACCCAAAATGGAGCCTGCACATGGCGGCTTGGAGCAAGCTGTCCTCCGATGGCGCGCTCTCTTCTGCTGGAAAGGCGCTCTTGCGCGTGCTGTGGGACGTCTTTCCACTCAGCCTGTGGCCTCCTTGGGGAAGGGGACAGGAGCTCCCGGGGTTTGGGCACCTGCCCGGCGCCGAGTCCCCGCAGGTTCTGTCCAATGTGGATTTGTCGAGTTGCAGTGCTCTGATGGGGGCGAGCCGCGGGGCCTTCTGGGCACCCCTGAGGACGGGGCGCCCGAGGTCTGGGCTGGGTCCCTCTCTCCACCGTCTGGCCTCCGCCCGCCCCACCGCTTGCCATCTCCTCCTCCGTGCCTCTTTCCCATCCTAGACTGTGTTCATTTGAGAGGACTCCCCTGGGCTTGTAAATCCTGGATTTCCCACTTCTACTGATGTGCTGGGAGCCAAGTCCCCAGCGAATGAACCTTAGTCTTTTAATTTTTCCCTGAGTTTTTTAACTAACACCTTGTGAAGACCTTCTCGTTTGCTCCACTCAACGGCACGTTCAGTGGAGGCCGAATTTTCTTTTTCTTTTCATCTTGGGGGTCTGTGTTACGCTGTCTGTGTGCTGAGGCCTTCCTCCTTTCTGTCTTCTGTCTCACAGCCTCTCTGCCTCTGTCTCTGCCCCGGGGGTGTTGCAGTCCCTGCTGGGCTCGCCCAGGTTCTCCCTCCCTGGAGAGCTGGCCCAGCAGGGGCCCAGTGGGTCCTGGGCTGGGTCCTCTGCCAGGCCCCTCCGTGGCCCTGCCATGCTTCCGGTTGCCCAGCCAGTGGCAGGAGCCTGTTCTCCGGGCAGATCCCGGCCGATCAGAAGGGCCTGGTGGTGGGGTCATCACAGAGAGCTGGGGCCAGCGCTATTCTGCTGTGTGGTGGTCTTGGGGTCCCCTGCTCTCAGGATTCCCCACCTCTCACCAGCCCAGGCTCCTGCAGTGGCCTGGGGCGGGTCGTGGGGGCTGCAGCCAAGGGACAGCTGGCAGGAGCCCTGAGGCCCACCTGGGCGTCCTTCCTGGAGGATGGCAGTTACCGAATTGTCCTCAGTGCCAATGTCCTGGTCTCTTGGGCCAGCTGGGGGTGGACTGGACTATTGAGGGGAGAGCCCAGGTTGTCACTGCCTTCCGCCTGCCGCCCTTCTGGGTGGGGTGTTTGCCTGGCCTCCCGTCGGTGTGGGCCAGGCGTTGGGCTCGCAGGGCCTATGAGTCCACCCCAGCTGTCCTTGGAAGGTGGCTGCGCCTGGCCTGAGCCAACCCCGGGCCCTGGCCAGTCTGTGCCCTGCTGCTCCTTCAAGGACCAGATGCTGGTCTTCCCCTGGAGTTGTGCTCAGCTCCAGGCCTGGTCCGCCTGCCTCCTCCTAGTCCCGAGGGCCTGCTCTCCCCCCTCTTTTCTTCCGTGGCATCGAAACGCGGAGGCCGAAGGAGACACACAGACACCATCCGAGGGAGTGGGGTCTCAGCAGACGGATGAGGAAGGGGTGCTGGGAACGTGCAGGGGATTGGGATGGCGAGGCGACCTGGAGGAGCAGAGTGAGGGAGAGAGAAGGGAAGATTCCAGAAGTAGGGCAGGGGCTTGGACAGGAGAGGCCCCAGTGGCCGGGGCGAGTACCTGTGGATTTGACCCAAGGCTGACAAGAAAGAGCAGGGCAGTGGCCGGAGTACTCCCTCCATGTTGTGGGGTGTTCTGCCGCCTTTTGCACAGGAGCTCTTTTATCCTCCAGCCTCCTGGGAGCGACCCGTTCCGGGGGAGGAGACCCAGGTGAGGAGGCTGGGGGAGGTGCAGTCACTGTGTCAGTCTTCCTCTCACAGCCTTCAATTGTGAGTCCTTCCTAGGAGACTCTGCCCCACAGGCCTAGGAGGGACTCGTCCTTTTTCTCAGATACTTATGTCTTTCCCGTGGATAGCCATGATCCGTTTGGAATGTGTTCTTTTTATTATGTTAGGCACGGACGAGTTTTCTTCCCGCATGGCTAACCAGATGTCCCGGCGCCATTTATTAGAAATCCTTCTTTGATTGGAGATGCCGCACTTATTGTATACGAAATGTCCATATGTACATGGGTCTGTTTTTGGATTTTCTGATTCCATTGTTCCTGTTTCAGACATGGAGTTTTAATTATGGAGACTTTCTAGCATTTGTTGTAATAGCTTTGTTGAGATGTAATTCACATACCCTAAAGTTCACCCTTCTGAGGTGTACAGTTCAGTGGTTTTCAGGATATTCACAGCGTCGTACATCCATCCATCAGTTGTCCAATTCCTGAGCGTTTCCTCACCCGAGAGAAGCCCACCCCTGTGCCCATCACTCTCTGTTCCCCACCTGCCCCAGCCTCTAGCAACCACCTGTCTCCTATGTCTATAGATTTGCCTGTTCTGGATGTTTCTTGTAAGCGAATCATACACGTGTGGTCTTCTGTGTCTGGCTCCTTTCAGTCAGCAAAATGTTTTCAAAGTTCATCCGTGTTGTAGCGTGTGTCAGAGCTTCATTCTCTGGGGTTTTTAAGAGTCGTCCTTTTTGTTTGTTTGTTTACTGTTTTCCTGGATATTCACCGTCCATTTGTTTTCCCACATGAACTCCCTGTCAGCTTGTCTGGCTCTGTAAAAATGCTTGTTGGTGTTTTTACTGAGGAGGGAGAAGGGACATCTTCATGAAATAGGGTCGTCCTATCCCGGAGCAAGGGGTGTCTTTCTCTTTCATCAGCTTCAGCGTGCTGTCTCTCTGGAGTGTTTCAGTTTCCTCTTAGAGATTTTCCCATTTCGCGTTAAATTCATTCCTAGGTAAAGTGTCTTCTTTGTTGGGATTGTGAGTGGGGTTTCTTTACCATTCTGTCCTCTAACCGGGTGTCTGTGTGTGTGAGAAGGCGATTGCTGTCTGTGTGAGTTTGATACCCTGCTGCTCTACCAGAGTCTTTCATTCTTTGAGTTTAATGTTGTCTCTAGGGTTTTCCAAGTGTGCCGTTGTGTCATTTGCAAAGAGAGCGCGTGGGTCCACTTCTTTTTCCTGTGTCTCTCGTTGATCTTTCCTGTTGAGCTGCTCTGGCCAGCGACTCCAGGAGTGTGGGATAGCTGGAGACAGGGCACTCTGCCCTTGTGTGGATCTGTGGGGACTGCTTCCAGTGCTTTCCCTTTAATTAAGGAGCTCCTTTTAGGACTAAAGGATATTTACTTCATCTTCTTAAGAAAGGTTCTCGAGTGTTTTCATCGGGAGCTCTGTTGATGCTGTTCTTTGCATCTGTGGAGAAACTCACCCCCTTGTCCCTTCTTTCTATAATGTGGTAGATTATGTGAATGGGTTTCCTGGTGTTGAGCGTGCCTTGCATTCCTGGAAAAATAAACAAATGGAGTTTTGAATTTTGTTTATTTGGTATTTTTGTGTCAATATTCATAACTAATATTGGTTTGCCGTTTTCTTTTTTTGGACTGTGTGTATCGAGTTTTGGTATCAGTGTTATACGTGCTTCATAAAAAGAATCAGGAAGTTTTCCTTCATGGTCAATGCCCTGGAATAATTTACGGAGCATTGGAAATATTTTGCTTTGGAAATTTGGCAGAATTCTCCTGCAAAACCATCTGGTCCTGGTGCTTGTTCGTGAGGGTAGATTTTGCGATAACGGTTTCTATTTCTTTTATCCACATTTGTCTGTTTAAGCTTCTTGTCTGCAATGGGTCACTTTTGGTGAGTGTCATTTTCCTAAGACATTGCTCATTTCACCTGTGATTTACACGTTATTTACATAGAGATTTGAAAGTAGAGTCTTATGATTCCTTAACTTTTTTTCTGTTTCAGTGATTATTCCTCCCTTTTAATTTCTTACATTGTATATTTGTGCTTCCTCCCTTTTTTCTTAAGTTAGCTAGTTGGTTGTCTTGTTAGTATTTTTTAGAAAACAGGATGTTGACTTATAAATTAGATCTATTGTTTTTCTATTTTCTACCTCATTAATTTTTGCTTTTCTTTATATTGTTTCCTTCCATGTGGTTACTTATGAATTATTTTATTGCTCTTTTTCTAACCCTTTAAGCTAAGAATTTAGTTCATTTGTTTTCATTTTTTCAAAGTGTTTAGTGTTGTGAGTTTTCCTCTGATCACTGCTTTAAATGTAGCTAATTGGTTTTCATATGTAGTGTTTTCACTGTTTTTTTTAAGAAATTCCTTAATTTTGGTTTTTATTTTTCCTTTTTCTCCAATAGTTGTGTAATGAATTGTTTTTAAAAGGGGAAAGACTTCTTGGTTTTAGAAAATATTTTAAATGTGTCTGTGTTAATGCCAATGCCACAGTGTCTTGATCCGTGTAGCCTTGGAATCTCCAGTCCATGGACATGGTGTGTCCCTTCATTCATTTCCTGTACTTTCTTTTAGTAATGTTTTTGAGCTTTCAATATACAGATCTTGCACTTTTCTTCAGTTTATTTCTAAGATTTATAAAAATTTTCAGTGAGTTTTTATTTTTAACTAAAAACTTTTGGACATAAATTCTAGACTTTAAAAAAGGTTACCAGAAAGACTTCCTTTCACCCAGATTTCCCCACATCTGCTTCCCCCTTCCCCACTTTTGGTGCACGCTGCTGCATACGTGTGTTCTTCTGAACCGTGTGATGGTGAGTTGCAGACACGATGCTCCTTGATCCTCAGACACACGATCTCTTCCATAACTACAGCAGGGTGATCAAAATCAGAAAATTAGCCTGAAACAATAGTCTAGTCTGAGGATCTTGTTCATATTCACAGGACAGACTTGGTGAATGGTCCTAATAATAGCCTTTTTAGGCTGATGAAATCCAGGATCACCTGTTGGTTTTATGAGGCCGTCTCTAGCCTCCTTTAATCTGGAACAGCTCCTCAGTCTTCTTGTGTTTTCCGAAACTGATGTTTGTGAAGCGGGCAGGTTGGTTACTTTGTAGACTGTTTCTCATGTTTCCCTGGTCACAGGTTTTTGGCGGGAGGATCTTGGAAGTGCTGTTGTGTCCTCCACAGTGCGTCCATCAAGAGGCACGTGATGCTGGTTGTCCCGTGGCTGATGGTGCTCGCTTAGATCATTTGGGTAAGGTGATGTCTGCCAAGTTTCTCTCCTTGAAAGTTAATATGTTTCCTTTTTTAATTAGTAAGTATTTTGGGGAAGATACTTTGAGATGATGTAAGCATCCTGTTATTCATCAAACTTTCACCCAGGAGCTCTCACATCCATTGGCCATTCTTGCCTGAACCAGTTGTGATGGTTGCTAATTCCATCGTTCCTTCTGCAATGATCAGTTTCTTCTCTATGGAAGACCTTTTCCTTTTTTTTATAACAGTGTGGACTCATGGATTTTTATTTTATTCAATGGGTTATAATTCTTTATTACTATTATCTATTTTCTTGCTCAAATTGTCCCAGCGTTGCCCAGTGGAAACCTTTTCAAGCTGGTTCCTGTGTCCTTCTGAGATGTCCCCACCTACCTGTGAGCACTTTCTTACTCTTTTGTGTATCAGAATGTTCTAGGTTTATCTTGTACTTTCTCTGCCCCAGCCCTGGAATCAGCCCTTTCTCCTAGGAGTCCTAGTTCTTTTTGGGGAACAATGGTGTTTTGTAACCAAGATCTATGTGCCGGGTGTGCTCATTGCTGTGGGGTGTCATAGTGTCTTAGGGCATAAAGCTAGGAAGTAATGAATGTCACACACATGCACAGCTCTGTGAGTGTGCGTGTGTGTGTTGTGTCTGCCCACACACACCTCTGTCTGCACCCGTCTATGCATCGTGAGAACAAGATTCACGCTGATGCCTCCAGACTCCATTCGAGGGGGGAAGGGAGAGCGGTGTTTGGCAGGGCGATAGGGAGGTGAGGGAGATGCTGTCCTCTTCCTCCGTAGCTTAGGGTCCGGGGGGAGGACCGGTGCAAGGTGGACCTGGGACTGTAGTGCCTGATGCAGAGAGAGCCCTGAGGATGGGTGGGTGGAAGGAGGTCGTCCTAGATCCTGTCTCTCTGTGACTCTGGGTAAGGCACTTTCTTTCCTGAGTTCGGTTTTCTCATCTTAAAAATTGGAGTTTGTGCTAGCTCAGGGAATACCTGGCACAGGTGCCTCCACCCCCGCCCCTGGGCCCCTGGTAGACGTCTGTCATCATCCAAGGCCCCTGGGACCCCAGACATCTTCTCCACATGACACTCCAGTCTTGGCGCCATGTGTGACCGGCCATGGGGCCTGTCTGTTGGGCGGCCTGGTCTCAAGTGATGTCATGGCCTTCATCTGTTTTCCATGCTGGTTTGACTTCCAGAGCCCCCTCCAGGGGCACTCTCCTGTGGCTGAGGTCATTTTGGTGGACTGTGGGCAGCGGTCAGTGAGGGGAGTGGGGTCCAGATGGCATCGGTCCAGCCTGAGGGCTCCCGTCTGGGCTAACTCGTGCTGTCTGCCGGCTCTCGGCATCACCTGGAATGGGTGGGCGGGACTGGGCATCACTGTCCTGCCTGCCTCGCCCTCCCTGGGGGCAGCACCTGGGTCTCTAAGTGACGTAGCCCAGGGCCTCCCACCTCCTTGAGCCGGTGGCAGCAGTTGGCGTGCGGGCCCAGGGTGGAGCGGCGTGCTGGGCAGGTCAGCTGGCGGCTCCTCCCAGCAGGCGGGCGTGTGACCAGGTGAGCAGAGGGTGGTGCAGCAGGAGGACTGGGCGGTGGGGGAGGCCCTGTCTGGCTTTGCTTCTGCACCGCCCAGCAGGATCCTCCTCTTCCACCCGGCCCTGCCTCCCTCAGGAAGCCCCCCTAATCCCCCTCACACAGAGGGCATGGACGGATGCCTGGGTGCCGGGCCTGTTGGCCACTCTCTGTGTTGGGCACTTTTCTGGGCACAGTCTGGGTCATGTGTCTAGGCAAGTGCCCCCACCCCCCACCTGAAAGTGCCATTGCCCCTGAGCCCCTCTGCCTGTTTTGGTTCAGTGGGGCAGAGAGGGGGATGGGAAAGGACAGAGAATTCCAGGGAAACAGAAGAGCATCCCCAGGAGTCAGGGCTGATGGACCTGAGATCTCAGCCCCACTGCCTGGCCTTCTGCATACTGCTGGCCTGGCACTGTGGCCAGAGGAAGGCTCACCGTGTGTCTGATGTGGGCACTGGGGCCAGGACACTGCCTGGGCCCCGGGGTGGCGGGCAGGAAGCCTGGTGGTCTTACCTGGAGAGCTGATTAAGTGGTACTGTGGTTGTGCAGGGCGAGGGGAGGAAGGCAGGGACGAGCCCTGGGTTTGACACAGGGCATGGAGAGGAGAGAGGAACGGAGGGCTGAAGGACAGTGACCTGGAGGCCCCGTGCTGGGCTTGGGACCAGAGGGGCTGTGGCCCGAGTGCAGGCTGCGAGGGTGAGGTCCTGGGGATGAGATCCCGAGGGCCGTCAGTGGTGATGAGATCTGGGTGTGACTGAGGCAGGCACTGTGGGGAGGACTAGCTCCCGGAGGAGGGGAGGTCCTCTGCCTGGGACAGGGTGTGGTCGCCGGCTGGCCTGCTGTGGACCGCGTCCATCTGTGCATGTTGGGCCCCAGACGTGGCCACGTGGCTGGGGTCCAGTACCGATGCCTCGCTCTCTGTGCCGATGCCCCTCCTGGAGGGTGCCAGGCAGCCGGAGATTCAGGATTGGCCCGGGAGGAAGGCTGGGTGCACCTCCTCCTGCGGCCCGTGGGTCCTGCGACTCCTTCCTCCTCACCAAGCGCACGCCCCATAGGGCCATTTTGGGCAGATACCAGGGTATGGGGGCTGCAGGCCCTAATGTGGCCGCCTGGGAGTCAGACAGGAAGGTCCTGAGGGTGACTGGGAGGCTGGGCTTGGTGGCTGCATGGACCAGGAGCCCTTTTGGACTTGTGGGCGTTAGGGTGGCAGTAGGGACGGGGGTGCAGAGGGACCTGAAAGTGTGGGGACAGATGTTATGAGGACAGCCAGCGACTGCTTACAGTGGGCTCCCTGCCCCAGCGCTGCCCTTCCTGGGACCTCCTGCAGGGAGGAGACTGGGTTTCCGGCTCGGGACTGGCGGGGACACCCGGCCAGCTGTGGCAGGGCCAGGACTGGACGGTGTGCTCTGCCATGGTGGCTGGAAAAGTCTATAGAGGCTGGAGGTGTCCAGGGTGGGGAGGACAACTGCTGTTGTCACGTTGATCACCGAGGCCGAGAGGGGTCTCCCGGCGGCTCCAGCAGGAGTCCGGCCTGTGTTCTGGCTCTGCCTCTTGCTGTTGGGAGCCAGATGCTGGGCGAGGCACAGCCACCTGTGCGGACATCCAGCTCTTCCCTGCAGAGGAGCTCCGAGGTCACACAGGGGCCACAGGTGTGGGGCTGCCAGGGTGGGCCTCGGCCCTGGACATCTGGGGAGACACCTGGCCTTGGTGGGCACCCTGCACAGCCCCTCCCAGCTGCAGGCACTGGGGGCTCCCTTGTACCTCGTTCATTTTCTCCTCTTTAACTTGGCGGTTTCATTTTGCCCTAGAAAATGGATTTCCCCCAAAAGGCAGGCTGTGGGGAGCAGCGGGTCACATACCTCGAGGTCAGTCCTTTTCCTGGTGGGGTGGGGTCAGGCTGCCGTAGACCGAGGGTCTGGGCAGTCTGCTGTGGGGTTCGAGGCCATCGTCAGGCTGACACTGATCTGTGATCGTCCAGGCCTTGCCCTGTCTGCCCCCTGGCCCCATCAATCCCTGCTCCCTCTCTTTTTCTAGCAGTGTCTTTGCAGCCGAAGGCTGGGTTAGGGTCGAGTGAACACAGCGTCCGAGGCCTGGCTGTTGGAGCCTGGGCCTCAGGCTCAGGGAGTTAAACTCCGCTGTGTCACTGTCTTGTTCCCTGGAGGGCGGGGGATAGAGGCCACCCCAGGGTTTCACCCCCAGGGTCCTGTGTGGGCACGTGGGAGGCCATGGAAGGCCAGGGGTCGCGTCTACAGAGGGCCCGGCACACAGTAGGTGTGTTGGGCCCTCCTGCCCTCTTCCTCTGTGCCCTCCTCCTGCTCTGGGTTTCAGGTGAATCTTGCAGGGTCCTGGGTCACCTTGGGCCTGCAGGAGGCTGAGGGCAGGAGGAAAGAGGGAGAATGGGTCCTGCTCCCTCCTCTTCACCGCCCCCCCCGCCCCCCGGCCTCCCCTGGGGCCCTCACTCCCGGTGGGGCCTCACTGCCTCCCGGGAGGTGGTGCTGCTTCCTGCTGTCACTCCCCTCCGCTGCACCCTGGTAGTGCCCTGGCTGGTGGCTCAGACTCGGGGGTCATGCTGTGTTAGCGCCTTCCTGCTTGACTCACAGGGGCTTTCTGTACCTGGGCGCGTCCAGTCGGCAGCAAGCATCGTGCCCCTTCCTGGTCTGTTCCTAGCTGGAGCGCGAGGCCTCCGCGGGTGGGCTGGGACTGTCTAGCTCTGCCCCATGTCCCCGCCGCGTTGTGGTCAGAGGCTCAAGACTGGGCGCCTGAAGGCGGACTGATTTAGGCCTCGCTCCAATTGCTGAGGGTGGGACGGCTGCCCTGCTTTGTGGGTGAGAAAACTGAGGACCAGAGACGTACAGCAAGCGGTGCAGGCCCTGCCTGTAAAGGACCTGCTTTCCATCCCTGCTGGACCTCTCCAGCTTCATGAGGGCTTCTTGTCTGCTGCCCTACTTGGCCCTTGTCTTGGAGGTTCCCTGCCTCTGAGAGCCCCAGGCCTGCAGAAGAAAGCTGCAGGCAGAGGTCATGTCCTGCTTGGAGCCCATCCGGGGCAGAATCAGCCCTGTCGCAGCCCTGGCGCCCGCCCTGGAGCCCAGGTCATTGGCCCCCAGCCTGGAGCTGTGTCCGGGTGCTCCCTCTGGCCTGGCGTCCAGTGGTGTCCTGCTGGTGGACTGCTCTCTCTTCCTGGGCCTGGGGGCTTTGTCCTGGGGCAGGTCTGCATTGCTGGGGCGTTCCCTGGCACCCCCACTTCCTCTGGTGCCCTATAAACAGGATCTGGGCAGTGCAAGGACAGATGGCTCCCTCGGGCTGCTGGAGCACGGGGGTGGTGGCTGGGGAAGAGCCTGGCGCCAGCCCAGGGGCACAAGGCCGGAGGAGGCTGGCGGGCCTGGTGGGCGGTCACGGAAGCCGCTCCGTGGGAGGCCTCCTTGGGAGCAGGCATTGTTCCTGTGGTCTCTGTGCAGCAGCTTTGAGGCAGCCTGGTGCCCTTCCTGGGCACTACAGTCCGTCAGCATCCACTCAGCCCTCCGGCCTGGCCCTGCCACAGCTTCCGCCCGCTGGCCGGGCTGCCAGCAGCTCCTGCAGCCTTTGTCCAGCCGCTCCCTCCCTCGTCCCTTGTCTGGCCCTGCCGTTGCCCACTGCCTGCCCTCGCCAGGTGGGACAGTTGAGAAGTCGGGGCATGAACTGACTGCGGGTGGGTGAGCAGGAGCCACGGGGAGGAAGCTGAGGGCACAGCCTGGGACAGGGCATGTGGGGCGCCTGGGGTTTGGGTTGGCAGCTGAGCGCCCCACAGCCCCTCATCATCTCCCAGCAGTGGGGGATGGGCCCGCTGGATTCCAGGTCCCCCAGGGGCTCGAGGCCCAGAGCAGCTGGCAGAGGACACATGCTGGCATTTCGTGTTCCTGGACTAGCGTCCTCCAGCTGGGGTGATTCTGTGGCTCAGGCAGTGGGACGGCCTTCATCTCCCAGTCCGCTGAGCAAACAGAGGTGGTACATGGTACACGTTCCAGGGCGCAGCGGAATGAGCTTGCCAGTCAGAGGAGGTGGCAGGCTGGGGATCTTGCCTCTTCCTGCCTTCACAGACTGACTGTTCATTACCCTTCACTTGCCTGGACAGAGCAGAGGGCAGCCTGTGGGCCTGCCTTGCCCTCACAGGTGCTGTTGGCTGGGCTCCTCAGTCCCTTCCAGCTGCCCCACCTGTGGCTGGGTGCACTGTGGGCTCTTGGGCAGGGAGGCACCTAGTGCTGCCCACCAGCCTCTGTCATGTCCTCCATTTGGCCATGGGTCTCTTCTGTGCCCTTGCTGCCCCTCCCTGCCTCTCTCCCTTCAACCTGCGGCTTGGCCAGTTCCTTCCTGCACCTGGTTCAGATCCCGCTGGAGCTGCTTCCTCTGGGGAGGTGCCAGACCCACCCAGTCTGGCCATGCCCCCTGAGGTCTCTGCAAGTCCCGCCAGAGCCCTTGTCACGGGGTATTCCTGCTGACTCCCACTAAATTTTCAGGTTCCTGAGGCTGGGGCCAGGCACCCCTTGTCTGGTTGGACACAGCGCCCGGCGCGCACTGGGTGCTCGGGGCGTATCTGTGGGGCTGGGCCGAGTCCTCCTGGGTCCCTGCGCTGGCCTGGGGCCCGCATGGCCACCGGGACGACGAGGGTGGTTCTCTGGGCCGCCTTCCAGAGATGCGGGGAGCGCGGAGCCGGCACCTGGATCTCGTCTGCTCAGGGCCAACTCCCGCAGCCCGCCGCTGCTTCCAGACTGATCTGTGTAGATGATGATTTGCTTGGAATTTTACAAGTTAAGCTTTAATATTTTAAATTATACATGCATAAAGTTTAGAGAGTAAATGAGTTCTCCATGGTTGATTAAGAACAAACACCCCTCGCGGCCCCTCCTCCCTCTCCCCAGAGCCAGCTACTTCCCATTCCTCCAGCAGGTCTCTGGGCGCTTCTCTCTTCTCTGAACAGCAGGCTCCTACCGCTACGTCAGGATTCTTTTCGATGTTTAGACAGTATTTATTGACTTGCAAGATGAGGATTGAAGTCTCTGTCCACACGTGTGTTCTCACTCTCACCCCCTCGTGTACACACGTGTGAACACACACAAATTGTGCACATTCTCGAGCATGCAAACATGCATGTGCACACCTCACACGCACCCGACCCTTGCACATGTGCACGTGCTACCTACCCTTCTCCTCCCCCTCAGTTTTGTGTGGTCTCACGCTCTCGGATGGGGAGGACTTTCCTCATCCTGCTGTGGGCTGCAGAGGCCTGAGCCCTGGGGAATGGGGTTGTTCTTCGTTTGCCGCCCGACTTGTTTCCCCGGAGTTCTAGTTGTCTTCCTTTGCTTGTGTCGTGTTTTACAGACTTTTCAGCCACTTAACCCGAAGCCTCCTCCAGATTTCGCAGTCTTACCTTCCTTCACCTCAACAGCCTGTCGTTTTATCTTCCTGAGGAAGTCCATCTGGAACCTTCTGCTGGCCCCCGTGAGCCGGTTGCCCTCCTGGCCTGGGCACAGTTTCTGCCCTGGGTCTCCCTCCATTCCTGTTGGGAGATCCTTCACCTTCCTCCTGCCTTCCTAGATCATCCCCCGTGGATGGAGCATGTCCTGGAGCCTCTCCAAGGAAAGGGGCAGGAGGGGACTGTTCTGAGCCCCATGTCTGGAAGTGTCTTCCCGCACCCTCATTCCAGAGAGTTCTCCTTCCATGCTGGAGCCACCCTCGCTCAGACCATCGTGGTTTCTGATTCTGCACATGTTTGTCTGGCACTGTCCTTGTCCCGTGTCCTGAGGGCTTGCAGGCGTGGGGGGCTGACCCTGGGCCAGGTCGGGCCTGTCCTGGCTGTGCGTTTCCTGGGCCTGTCTCAGTGTGCTCAGTTCTGGGTATTTCCCTTGCCTTCTGTTTCTCACAGCTCCCTCCCTTGGTTTTCTCTGTCCCGTCACTCAGATGTGGGAGCTCCTGGGCCCATCCTGTGGTTGTCACTCCTGTGTTCTCTGTCTTGGTGTTTTACCCTCTGGGAGACTTCTTCAGCTCCATCTCCTGCCCTTTCTACTGAGCTCTTCGTTTCTGCTCCTGTGTTTTAATTTCTCAGTGCTCTTCAGCGCTAAAAGTCTTTTGATAGCATCCTATTCCAGTTTCGGAGCAACACCTCTTTTCTCCGGGGGCAGCAGCAAGGGGCTATGTGGGTTTGTCCCTTGGAGGGGCAGCGCAGTGAGGACACAGGCGCTGGAGCCGGACTGCCCCATCCGAAACCCTTCTCCGCCCGCTACCCACTGTGTGTCCTTGGGCAAGTCACCCACCTCTCTGTGCCCGTGTCCTCGTCTGTGAAGTGAGGTCACAGTGGGGCTTCCTCAGGTTGTCGTGAGGATGAATGAGTGAACCTGCGCCCCGCGCTGAGAGGAGCGTGGGCCGTGCCCGCTGGCCTGTGAGAGCCCGTCCTTACTACTTACATGGTTTCCCCTCGGGTGGTGCTCTTGCCTCCATGCTGGGTTGTCTGTGGGTCCTGGGCTCCTCTTCCACACCACTTGTCTCCCCAGATGTGGACCAGGCCTGTCAGGCGCTAGTGAGTGTTCCTTGTGCCGAGACCGCTCGCCTCCAGGTCAGCGTAGGGCCCTGTATCCTGTGTCCCCTGCCTCCTCTCTCCCTACCGGGCTTTTCACCCTTCCCTCGCCTGCTCATCTCCCCTCAGGAGCGTTGGGACAGTGGAGGGAGGCCCAGACGGTGGAGGGAGGTCCAGACGGTGGAGGGAGGTCCAGATGTGGAGGGAGGTCCAGTGGCGACTTGGGCAGGCATCTGGGATGTGGCCTGAGGGACCCATGGAAAAGAAAACTGATTCTGACAGGGATTCTCAGCTGTGCTCTGAGGACCCCTGGGGGTCCCTGAGTCCTTTCCAGGGGTCCCCGATGTCCTCCCTCTGCCAACCACCCCTGTGTGGGGCCAGATTCCTTTACCTGCTCCAACCAGAGCAGTGTGTTGCAACAGCTGTGCTGGAGGCAGGCCGAGGACCCAGCATGTCTCTGCAGCCCGCCCGGAGACTTACCACGTGTCAGAGTCTCCCGCCATTCTCACTGAGTTGTTTTGTTTGGGAAAGTGTCGTTATTTTTCATAAAGATATGTTATTTATGTTAACAAGTAATGGGCTTCCTATTGTTATTTAAAAATGAATAAGTATTTTTTAAAAACTTCATTTTAATTTTTAGGTACAATAAATATCAATAGGTATAATCCCCATAAACCAAAGTTCTTTGGGATCCTCCCTAGTTCTTAGCTGTAGAAGGGTCCTGAGACGGAGATGTCTGGGGCCCCCAGGGCCAGATGGCCTCGTGGTGCTGCCCTGCCCTGGACGGCCGATGGCACAGGCACGGCGGGAGTGATCAAGGCTGGGCATCCTGTGCTGCGGGGAGCAGGGTCCCGGAGGCTCCCCCGACCCTGGGAATGTGGGCCTGCTTCTCGCCCCCTGTATGCTCAATGTGGTCACGGTCCCACCTTCCTGTGTGGGGTTTTGTGTGGGTGAGCTGAGCAGGCTGTAAAGTGCAGAGAAGCCAGCCTGGCCTGGACGGCGCTCTGTAAGCTGTGCCAACGTCTTAGGATGTGGCAGGCCAGACAAAGATGCTGGACAAGCCTCCGCATGCACACGGGTCACAGGCCCTCCATGTGACACACGGTCACTCAGAACACTGGGTGTGTCTGGAGGGTCCCCTGAAAGGGCTGTAGTGACACTGGAGGGTCACAGGTGGCAGTCTTCAGGCTGGAGAGGCCCCACGGCCATCCTGGAGCTGCTGTTCCCAGGGGAGCAGATGGGCGGGCAGGGTGCTGAGCCACCCCAGGGATGCCGGCATGGTGCGCAGGAGCCCATACAGCCAGTTGTGTATTGAGGACTTACTGTTTGTTGCCCCTGTTCTGAGGACTTCGTGTGTGTCTGTTTACTTCTCTCCACAGCTCTGAGGGGCAGGGCCCTCTATTATACTCCTTTTGCAGATGAGAAAACTGAGGCCCAGAGAGGGCCAGTGGGTTGTCCCGAATGGCATAGGTAGCAAGTGGCCAAGGCGGGTTCAGCCCAGGCAGCCAGCCCCCAGCCCTCCTACTATCCTGTGTGGCTCAGGAGGACAGAGCTGGAGACAGAGGGTGGGCAGCGGCCATGAGCCCGTGGGTCCCAGAGCAGTGCTTGGTTCCCGTGGTGCCCTGGGTACCAATGTACGTGTGGCAGGAACCCGGTGGTCTCAGAAGCTGGGGGGGCTTGCTCACGGGAGAGCAGGGGAGCTGGGGCTCCGGTTGGGACCACTGTGGTTTTTGAGAGGGGTCCCTGCAGGGAGGCACCCTTCACAGTGTCCCCACGCCGGGCCAGTGGCACCAGATGGCACCTGGAAGGGGCTGGGAGGAGCCTGGCTGAGCTGAGATCTGTGCCCCAGGCTGCCTGGGGGGAGGATGCGGGGACCCAGGCTCGTGGCTGGGTGGGCAGGGCCCGGGTGCACCCTGAATCTGAGTGCTAACCCCTCCCTCCTCCCTCCCTGCCCTGATTTTTGTTTCTTCCAGCTCTGTGGGAAGGCGGTGGCCCTGCCTTCGGTGAGAAGATGTCCTATGGATCCATCGCTGGCAGTGGTGGCCTGGGGAGCCGCAGCCCTTTCGGGGGACCCTCCAGACAAGGCTATCAGCCCCTTGGTAATGACAGCGGCTGGCAGTGTGGGCAGGGGAGGTAGGGGGATGGCAATGGGCGGGCCTCCGCTGTGTCGTGTGGTGGCCGTAGGTGGGTTCTGTCCCTTTGACCAGTACTGCTTGTGACCTGAGACCAGGGGTGACGCTGGCCCCAGACCGGGTCAGGGCTGTTGGTGTGGGGCTGAGTCGACACCAGGAGAGAACAGACCAGGAGAGGCTGCCCTGCTGCGGGGGCAGACCTGGTGTCCCCCGTGGTTCTGGCCCTGAGCTGGTCTGCTGGTGCTTGGGGCACTTGGCGGGGCCAAGTGGATGAATAATCTGGTCTGGTGTTCTAAGGACAGTGTGGAGCAGGTGTTATTTTTCACAGCGTGCGGAGGAGGAAACTGAGGACCGTGGGGGTGATAAATGACGTCCTGGGGCTATGCAGCTGGTGCAGGCGAGCAGGGCTACGTTCCGGATATTTCTGAGTGCACAGCCCTGCTCTGTTCACTTCGCTGAGTATGTAAGGCCCGCAGGCTGACCCCGTGTGTGCCCTGTGGTCTCTGAGTGCTGCTGTCTACCTGCCTTGCCCCTCCCCTGTGCTCCCTTCCGTCCGGAAGGCGGCCCCTGCTCCAGATGGGAGACCCGTTAGACCACGTCTCTGCCTGCGGGTCTCTCCTCTGGCCCCCAGCATCTGGTCAGAGCAGCCTCCGTGAGCAGCTGTCTGGGAGTGGGGAAGGGGATGGAATGGGGGTCCCCGATGTCTTTGCTTGTGTCTGCAGACTGCACTTGCCCTGCCCTAGCTGCTGCCAGAGCCTTGGGCCCCCGCTGGGTGGTGGCTCCCTGTCCCCTGGGGTTTTCCCCAGGGTGGGCCCGAGTTTCTTCCCTTGCAGCTTCTCCCTGTCTCTTGTCCGGGCTTTGGTTCCCAGGGGTGCCTGTTCACGGAAGCAGGCCGGGCGCGGGGCCGTTGCTGGCTCCTTGGCAGCCCCCCTCGCACAGGGGAAGCAGCACGCACGTGGGCAGGCGGGCGGCCGGCCTCTGAGTCATCGGTGCTGGGGTGAGGACCGCAGCAGGGAAGGCATGAGTCCACATAGTCATCCCTGTGGCTGCCTTTCACGCGGCCTCTCTCCTCATCACTTGGCACATTGCCGCTGACCGCTCCCAGGGCCAGGCCCAGTGCTTGGTGGTGGGACACTGTCCTCTAGACCAGTCCCATCCCGTCCCCCTCTCTTTGTCCTTCATTTTAGCTGGGAACGCTGGTCTGGTCTCCCACTCCGGCCTCACTCTCCTTCCTGCCTGGAACGTTTATCCAGGTGGCCTCTAGGTGTTGTGGGTGCGGTGGGGGAAAATGGCACCCTTGCTCCATCAGGGAGAAGTTCTGGAGTCATCTCACGTGGGTGCTAGGAAGGACATGAGGGAGGATGGAGGGTAGGACTGACCGGGCGGGAGGGTTGGGGTCTGTCAGCCGAGGTGGTGAGGGAGGACCACTTGGATGCAACCTGGGGAGGAGGCAGCCCCGGGGTCCTGAATGGGCCTGTCCTGTTGAGAAACAGCGTGCCTGGGTAGACAGGCAGGTGGGCCAGGCCAGTGTGGCTGTGCGGTCCTGGTCACCTGTGCTCCTGTCCCCGTGCAAAGGGGAGCCATCAGACGGGTGTCAGCAGGGGATGGTGTGAGCTGCGTAATTGACTATGTTCTCTGGGATGTCGGGTACATACAAGACTGTGTGCGTGTTTGTGTGTAGAGTTTAAATATCGCGGCTTAAGGACCAATGGCAGCCCCCAGGTCACTGCACCCCTCCCCGTCCCACCCCCTCCTCGCCCTGCAGTGTGCCTTCCTTGCCTCCTTGTCTCTCTGTGGTGTCACCCTCCTGTCTGTATCCCAGGACAGAACCGTGCCGAGTGTGCGTGGCGTGGAACTCAGTGTAACGGAGCCGTGTGATTGTGTTACTCCTCAGCTCACTAGTTTTCCTCCTGAGTCAGTGATGTCGCGCGTAGCTGTCCCCTTCCGTGTCCCTGCTCCACGGCGTCTGGTTGTGTGAGCGCTGTGGCATCTGTACCCAGTGCCCGTGCGAGGACAGTCAGGGCGTCTGTCTGGGGCCCTCGCACAGCAGTGCACCCAGGGGTGCTGGTGGCTGTGTGACCCCTCTCCGTCTGGAGCGCTGGCCCTCTGCTCCATCCTCGTGGGCGCCGGCCGCGGTCTGGGGCATGGAGGGCCCCTCTGGTCCCCATTTCCGTTTCTCCGGTGGCTGATGGGGCGCGTCGTGTTTCGTATGTTGGTTGGGCATTTGAGTCTCTTCTCCGGTTAACTCGCCGTTCCCTCTTGGGTTGCCTTGTTCTTCCTGACAAGTGAGTTTTCCTCACGTGTCGTGGAGGGGAACCGTTGCCGGGCGTGCCATACCTTCCCCCGGTTTGCGCTTGCTGTGCCTCGTGGCGCCTGCAGAGGACCAGCAGTTCACCATTATGATGCCCCTGAGTTTATCACTCGTTCTGTTGTGGTTTACGTTCTTCTGTTTAGTTTAATAAATTCTACCACACTATAATGAGGATTTTACCTTTACTTTCTTCTGAAGCTTATATGATTTGTTTTTCAAACTCTGTCTTTTAATCACCTGGACTGATTTTGTTTATGGTGTGCGGTGGGGTGGAGAGGGTGGGACCCTAATCTCATTTTTCTCTATTTGAATAACAGATTCCCCTGGGACTATTTATTGAAACTCCCATCCCTTTCTACAGATGTGCAGTGCCAGCTCTGTGATAAATGAAGTTTCCAGAGGGGTTCTCTTGGTCAATTTTCTCTTCCTCTGCAAAAATCCGTCTTAATTTTCCTAGAATTATTGTAATTTTTGATGTTTTTAAGGCAAGTTGCTCCACTTACCTTTCCTCAGAAATATCTTGGGTAACTTTGGACTTTTGTTGTTGAACATAGATTTTAGAATCCCTTGTCAAACTTGGAGTTTTGGCTGGAATTGCTTTGCATCTACTGTGTTAATGTGGTGGAAATTGGCATCGTTATCATTCTCAGTCTTCCAATCCACGATCATGTATGTTTTTCTATTTATTAGAACATCTTTAATGTCTTTCAATAGAGTTTTATGATTTTTTCCATAAAGATCTTATATATCTTTTATTAAATTAGTTTTAACAAAATAAAAACATTTTTTGCTGCCAAGTGGTACCATTCTGAATATTACATGTTCCAAATAGTTGTTGCTGGTGTTTGCACACACAATTGGTGTTTTTTTTTTTTTTTCGCTGAGGAAGATTGGCCCTGAGCTAACATTTGTGCCAGTCTTCCTCTCCTTTATATGTGGGTCACTGCCACAGCATGGCTTGACGAGTGGTGTGCAGGTCTGCGCCTGGGATCTGAACCTGTGAACCCCGGGCTGCCGAAGTGGAGCGTGCAAACTTAATCATTATGCCACCGGGCTGGCCCCCACAGTTGATTTTTTAAAAAACAAAGTCCAGAGATTTAACTTTTAAATGTCTTTTTTTTTTAACTTTCTAAGTGTAGAAACTTGCAAACATAGAAAAGCAGACACAGTGATGTAATGAACCCCCGTGCGCGCATACTTGGCTTCATCAGGTATCTGCTCGTGGCCAGTCCACCCTCACCTGTGCCCTTGGGGCCTGCCCCCCCCCCGCCCCGCCCTGTGTCATTTTGAGGGAAGTCCCAGACATCAGCACATCTCATGTTAATGTTCCAGTGTCTCTCTGAGCGGGACTCATATGTATGAATTATGTAGCTGAATTCCGTAACAACACCGAACATGTAGCAGCAGTGTCCCCCATGCAGATCTTCAGTTGCTCACAGATGCCCAGTGTGTCCTCAGCTGGTTGTTTGAAGCAGGTCCTGCTGAGAGCCACATACTGCAGTTGATTGACAGGCCTTTGGAGTCTTTTCTGGTCTCGAGATTCTCCTCTATCTTTTTGGTTTTTTTTCCTTTGAAGTTTATTTCTTGAAGAAACCAGGTTTTTCCTCTGCAATGTATTGACTTTTGTCCACTGACTTTATCTGCTGCCATTTTGCTGAGCTCTTTTTATTATGTAATAATTTGTGGGATTTTGAGTTTTCTGTATAGATGAACGGTATCATTTGTGGATAATGACATTTTTTTTTCCCTTCTTTTGCAATGCTTTCACCTTTTATTTCCTTTTCCTGCGTTCCTGAGCTGGTGGAACCTCTAGTCTGAACTTGACTGGAAATGGTGATGATAGTCTGTGTGAGGTTTTGGAAGAATAGGGCTGTATATTCCTTAAATGTTTCTGGGATTTTGCTGTAAAACCATCTGGGCCCAGTGTTTTCTTTGTGGAAAGCATTTTGACTACCAGATAATTTCTCCACTTGTAAAAACTCCTCAGGCTCTCTATTTCTTCTTGTGTCAGTTTTGTGAAATTGTCTTTTTCTGGGCCTGTGTCTGCTTCATCCAAATGTTCAAACTTATTGAATAGAACGGTGCAAGTAGCCTCCTGTTGGCAAGTATCACACTGGGCAGCATCATGTGTGGTTAAGGGCACGGCTCGGAAAGCGGCGGCCTTGGTGCCGTCCCCACCTTCTCTGCCGCTAGCTAGCTGTGCCCGCCCCCTGACAGCGGTGGAGAGCAGAGGACCAGTGGGCGTGGGGCCGGCGGGATGAGTCGCCGGAGTGAGGCCCTCGGGCTGAGCGCCCTCAGTCAGGGCTGCACGCAGCTGCTGTTTCGGCGGCTGCTGTTTATTAACTTTGGCGGTATCTGAATCACATCCCCTTTTTATTCCTAATATTGTTTGTACCTCCCTGTTTTCTTCTGTTTTGATCAATATTGACAGAGCCTTGGCAATTTTATAAGCCTCTCCAAAGAACTGGCTTTTGACTTGCTTGATCCCTTCTCTTATGTGCTGGTTTTAAATGTGATTGATTTCTGCTCACGGTTTTATTATTTTCTTCCTTCTTTCTTTGAGTTGATGCTGCTGTATTTTTCTGACTCCTAAGTTGCTGTTTACTCATTCATATTCAGTTTTTATTCTTTTTTAATAAAAGCATTTAAGATTGTGTCCAAATAATCACTGTTTTAGTTGAATATCACACATTTAAAAATATATAGTATTTTTAATTCTTATTTAGTTGTAAATATTTTTGTATTTCCCTTATGATTTCTTCTTTGACCCAGAACGTTAGAATTGTATTTCATCATTTCCAAACGTGTGCATTTTTTCCTAATGGTCTTTTAAAATGATTTCTGATGTAATTGCCTCTCTGTCGGAAAAGGGTCTGCGTTGTCCCAGTTGTTGACCGTTGTGGAGATCGGGGCTGCTTCTGTGACGCTGGCTGTGCTTCTGGTTCCTTACCCTTCTCTCTGCAGGGGGAGCCGGGTGGGCTCCCAGGCAGGACGGTGGGGCCAGGCGAGACCCCGTGGTGCAGAAGCAGCTGCCGTCACTCGGTGCCTGCTGTGCGCCAAGCACTGTGGGGTCCATGTGACTCTGCAGGTAATTATGCAGAGCTTACGGTGGGCTCTTCATTGTAAAATCCATCACAGATGCAGCAAAAAGCCAAGTAAAAGATTATTAACATGTAAAGAACTGACATAAATAGAAGGAAAACCCACAAGTCTTCATACAAATGGGCCAGATCTGTGAACAGATAGGAAACATGGATGATTCACTGTGTATGAGAAGTTCTCAGCCTCACTTGTACCCAGAGAGATGGAAGTGAAAATAGCAAGGCAGCACCACTGCCAGGCTGCGGCAGGGCAGGCTCCCGCAGGAGGAGAGGGCTTGGGCACCCTCCTCCCAGCTTCCGGACCCCCGGCTTCCCTCTCCCGGCCCAGCCAGGTCTCTTCTTGGACTGTTAGGAGATAATCAGAGACGTGGGCAGAGGTGTTCGCTGCAGGGCAGTGTATGAGAGAGAATGCAGAAATGCCGTCACTGCCCAGCTTGGGGAGACAGGGGAGTGAGCTCCGGTCTCTGATGCAGTGTGAGGCAGTGTTTAGGACTGGTTGTCAAAGAGCATGGGACGACCTCTGTGCGTGTCCAGACATGACGACAGGTGTGGTAGATGAACCAAGCAAAGCCATGTCCACGATCTTCTACTTCTGCAAGACCCCCACCCCCAGTGTTGACAGTATTTACTCCTGGATGCTGTGGTTGCAGATGATCGTTATTGTTTTCTTACAATTGTCTGCATTTAAACTTTTTTCTGTAATTATATGTAGTGGTCTAATAATCAGAAACAAACAATAATTGTGTCCCCCCCACCCCAAGTTCAAGGTTCATGAGATTCTGGTGGGCAGACCAGACTGGGTCCTCCATGGTGTCTGGGGACCATGTGGAGCAACCAGGGGCGGTGGGCAGGGCCTGGACGTCTGGTGCCTGAATGCCAGCGTGACGAGGTCATTGGGCGGTAACATGGGCTGCCAGCTGGGCCCGTGGTCTCCCTGCCCCCTGAGGAGGGGCTCTGAGGGCCCTGAGCAGCTGCTGACCCCAGTCGTCCTCCACACGCCGTCATTCGGGCAGCAGATGCTGGGCTGGGCTTTGTGGGCCTCGGGGGTGTCTGCCTGCGGGGGAGCCTGGTGCGGGCGCCTGGGGAGGAGGCCCTTTGGGAAGAGGGGAGTGAGGGGCCCTGCCCTCTTGGGAGATGGGCCCATCCTGGAGTCTCACGGGCAGAGCCTCAGACCCCACGAGATGCCTGGGCGCGGGGCTGCGGCCTCAGCCAGGGCCTCTCACTCTGGGACTGCTCAGGGCTGCGTCTCCTCTCCGGACACCGTGGAGAGTCTCTTGTTCTGACTCTGAAGCCTTCTCGGCTGCCGTTCTCTGTTCCTTGGGAACCTCTGCCCCCAAATAAGCTGGCCTGCTGCCCTGCCCTTGCTTCCCGTCCTCCCCTGAGCTGGGCGCTGGGGCAGGAGGAGCGGTGCTCCCCGCTCCGGGGAGCGTGCAGGCTCGGGGGCGAGGGGATCGAGGCTCTCTCCTGAGTCTGTGTGCTGGGAGCCCATCGGCTGCCTGTTGGTTTGGGGTGGTGCTGCCCCGAGGCGGGAGGATGGACGAGATGGCCTTTCGAGACCTCTCTCACCCCCAAGTGGGGTCCGGGTGGGAGCCTTTGGGGCAGTCCTTCCGTCCCTGTCATGCTGGGTGCAGTGTACCCCCCAGAGGGACGCAGGGCGGGAGCTGAGCAGGCGTCCCTCACTCTCTCTTCTCTGGGGGACATGCGAGACCAAGGCCTGTTCCGAGAAGGAGCTGCTGCTTTGGCACCTCGGTGCTGAGACTGGCCTGGGGATGGCTGTGTCACCGGGGAAAACTCCTAGTGGCCATCGACGTGGTCAGAAGGGCTTCTGCGTCACGTCAGCTGTCGCCTCCTGGAGCATGCTTCCTGGACGCTGCCCTCTCCTTCAGAGACCCCTGGGGAGAAGATGGTCACGAGGCTGGCCCATGGCTCTGGCTCATGTGGCCTCAGCCTGGCGCCCGGCCTCCGCTGACTCAAGGTGCCGTGGATTGGGAGGCACGGCTTGGCTTCAGGGATGTTAGGATGTTTAAAGGTGCGTCTTCGGATTGACGCATTCCAGCGAAACGTGTGCAGGAATTGTTTTTGAATAAATTGAAACGATCAAAGAGAAAATTGGGGTCCTCCCTGGGGTGCCTGACCCCACACCTGGGGCCTGTGGGGGAGCCAGGGAGATGGGGAGAGGCCGGGCAGGTGCCCGCGGCATGGTCGCTCCTCAGCTCTGCCTAAGTGTCGGGAAAAGCAGGTGTTTATTATTTGTGCTTCCAGTGTGCTGTGGAGCCGTATTTTTATAAATATGATAGAATGACCCATGCTTGGTGTTGGGAGATTTCAGATTGCCATAAACCTTCCCAAAGCCTTATTCTCTATTTCGCACGTCATTGTCGTGGACGGTAGCACTTGTCAAAGGCCTGGCCTGGTCTGTGGGCCACACCTGAGAGCCCTGCTCTAGGGGGTTTCATCCCGGTTTTGGATCACTTTTCAGAATAACTATGGTTCAGAGAAAGAGCTGGAACATCTAAAGTTCTGAACTCCCTGCTGGCTTTCAGCAAAAGGGTGTATTCTGGAGAGTGTGGCAGTCAGGGAGGGCTTCCTGGAGGAGGTGGGTCCAAGTGGCACTTCTCGCATGGATGCTTGGAGAGCCTGGGGTGCCTGCTGTCCTGCGTGGGGACCTTGCTCTGCCAGCAGTACCCTGAGCTGCTCTGTGGGCAGGCTGGGCATAACCATGACTGTCCCTTGCTGTCTGTAGAGTGCACTAAGTGTTGGACCGAGTATGGAATCCGCCATTTCCCCTGTCTGTCGCCAGAGAGCAGCCCGCAGGACCCCTGTGCGGGCAAGGATGGGGAAGGCCATCTGGGGCCGGCGGCCACACCCAGAGGCCCAAGGGCCAGGAAGCGAGGTACTTCCACTGGATGCTGGGTCTGGGGGGTCACAGGGAAGGCCACAGAAATGCCAGTGCTGAGGAGGGAGGGCCGGCGGGCGGGACCCAGTCGCGGAGGCCTGGAGCTCAGAGCTGCAGCAGGGATTCCGGCCTGTCTGCACCCTCACCGCCACTAGCCTTTCCCTTCCCCAAGGACGGCGGGCAGTGTGGCAGGGCTGGGCCAGAGGCAGGAGGGATGTTGCATGATGGCCAGGGCTGTCAGGGCCCTGTGGGCTCGAGGGATGAGGCCTGGCCCCGCAGGACCGTGAGTGAGGGGCTGCTCGGGCTCGGGGGACAGGGCCGGCGCAGTGGCCCCTTCACTCCAGAGCCTGCGTTCTTGCAGAGTGGGCTGGTGAGGGAGCGTCGGGGTCCTGGGAGTGTGCTTTAGGAGGAGAGGGGCGGTGGGCCTGCAGAGGTGGGCCTTCTGGGAGGGAGATGGGGACCTGGAGGGAGACAGGCAGGTGCTGCTCTGTGAGCTCGCCCTCCGGGAGGCTCAGACATGGCTCTGCCGTCAGGGGCCTCTCAGTGTTGGGGGCTCTGTCTCTGCCCCTGGGAAATGGTGGTCTGATGGGGAAGCTGCCTCCTTGCCCTCACAGGTCGTCCCCTTGCCCCTAGGCAGGCACAGGCGGCTGGGGACAAAGCTCTCGGATGAGCAGAGGCCTGGAGACCTTGGCTCTGTTTGCCGGCCCAGCCCAAGAACCCCTGTGAACTGAGAAGTGAGGGGCTGCCGGGGCGCAGAGGGGCAGGGGGCGGAAGCTGCAGACCAGCCCATCCGCCACCTGCCTGCCTTCCCGCTCCTGCCCTCCGCTCGCTGTGTGGGAGGGGAAGTGTCGGAGCTGCCCTGAGGGGTTTTTGACCAGGGCGTCCTGGCATGTCAGTGGTGAGGGCTGTCCCCTGGCGAGGGATGTCCTGGGAGCAGCCCTGGTCCTGGCCCCGAGTGCCTTCTGCCTGCTGACAGGAGAGGGCCTGTCTTGCTCCTCGGGCCGTGGTGGCTGCAGGAGGCGGGCAGGGACGGGGCCCTGTGGAGACGGGGCCCTGTGGTCCAGAAGTGGAGCACCTTGCTGGATGGCACCCGGCCAGGCAGGGGCCTGGCTAGGCTTGGACCCAGGCCTCTGGACACCCAGCGGGGAGTGGGCGGTGGCCAGGCGCAGGCAGCAGTGTCCTGAAGCAGAAGCCAAAGAGGAGGCGCCCCGGGAGTTGCTGCTGCAGCTGCCGTCCTCACCGGCCCAGGTGCCTTAAACGCCCCCTTTTGGTGCCTTTCCAGGGCCAGGGGTCGCCACTGAAGGCAGCGGGACACCAGAGCCCACCTCGCCGCCCGCCGCCGGCCCGAGGAAGGACTCGGCTGCCGGGGCCCGTGGCCGGATGGCGGGGCCCAGCGCCGCCCGGGCCAAGAAGAGGAAGCCCAACTTCTGCCCGCAGGAGACGGAGGTGCTGGTGTCCAGGGTCAGCAGGCACCACCAGCTGCTCTTCGGCTCGGGGCTGCCGAGGGCCGAGCCTGCCCGCAGGGGCCGCGTGTGGAGCCGCATCCTGCAGGCCGTGAACGCGCTGGGCTACTGCCGCCGTGACGTCGTGGACCTCAAGCACAAGTGGCGGGACCTGCGCGCCGTCGTGCGCCGCAAGCTGGGCGAGCTCCGCGGGGCGGCCCCCGGCCCCCGCCAGCCCCAGGCCCTGGCCCTCACGCCCCTGGAGCAGGCGGTGGCCAGGACCTTCTCCTGCCAGGCCCTGCCCCGCGAGGGCTTCGGCCTGCAGCCGCCCAGAGGTGAGTGCCTCGCCCAGCTCAGCCCCGCCAGCAGGCAGGCAGAGACCCCCTGGCCTGCCCACGCCCGCAGGCTGCTCCCCCTCCGTAGGGATCTCCCCCACTTCTCCCGCCCCCCCCGCCCCCCGGATCATCTGTACTGTTCCTCTCCTTTATCCTCCGCTCCTGCACCAGGCCCTCACCCACCCGTCCGTTCACGCACGCGGCGTTCTAAATCCTGAAGCGCTTCTGGTGGACTAGACTGCGCCCTTAGCTTCTGCGTCAGCACTCGCCCTCACCCCGCCGCAGAGCGGAGAGCGGGGCTGCACGGACAAGATGCAGCTCTCTCCGCAAGGTCATCAGCTTCCTGCTGTTGGACCATGACCTGCCGTAAGAGATATGTTGTCTGTTGCTGCCCCGCGTGTTAACACACAGCTGAAATATGGGCTTTTCAAATGGTGCTTACCTTATGTCATCCCATATGCTCCAATGTTTCTCTGTTCTGTCCTGTCCTGTCTGTCCTATCCTGTCCATTAAATAAAATGCTCTGCTGACTTTCTGAGCTGGTTTTGTGGCCTGGGCGTCAGAGCTGTTGGGAACGCGTGGCTGTTGCTGGGTTACATCCAGAAGAGGCCTCCGTACAGGCCGGGCCGCCCCTGCAGCGTCAGGAGGGGCAGATGGGGATGGAGAGTCGAGGTGTCCGGGTTATCTCGGGGCATCCCAGGGCTCAGGCAGAGTCCTTCGCGGGGCCGTCTTCCACGGGGTTGTCGCTCTGTGGGGTCTGAGTCCTCCAGGAAGGGGCAGAGTCCTTCCTAGGGCCATCTTCCAGGGGAGTGTTGCTCTGCAGGGTCTGACTTCTCCAGGAAGGCTCCGGTCAGGCATGGCAGGTCGGGGAGCTTGGTGGAGGTCAGTGCGGGCCTGATATCTGGGAGCTAAGGGTGTGGTGGGTCCCAGAGGGGCTGGGACAGTACACTGCGTGGACATGCACAGTCCGGGGCCACACAGGGCCGCAGCACTGCCATGTGAGGCCGTTGTGACTGTGAGGGGATGAGCACGTCCTGGTCCCCCGCTGGATTCCTGCTGCATGGGCATCAGGGCTCCGTCCTCCTGTGGGAGCTGCCCAAACAAGTGGCGTCACCTGGGCCTGGCCTAGAGCACGGGGCTGCAGCAGGCGGCCACAGCTGCCCGCCAGACACTGGCCCGGGTGTGCTTTCGCGCCGAGCTGAGGGTGCAGAAGGATGAGGCTGTGCTGGGCCCGGCAAAACCTCTCAGCAGTTAGGGGGTTCCTTTCCCGCAGCCGTGGGGAGCACCTGCTGCCTCTCGTGCTGGGGCATGGACGCCCATCTTCAGCCCAAGGCCTCTCCTTTTGTGCCTTGCTGGGTGAGGACAGGCGCCCCTGGGGGTCAGGCACCGTTGTGAGGCAGTGGTCACACCGGGCCTGGGCGATGCACAGGGCTGCTATCCTGGGGCCCTGGGCTCCTTGACCCCTGGCGGTCCCGTGGAGAAGCCTCCTGCCTCCTCACAGGCACCATCAGAATTGGCGGCTGATGAGGAGTGTGTGGTGGCTGTGCCTGGCGCCACAGGAGGGCTGGGCACAGGCTTGCTGGGCGAGTGATGGCCGAGTGGACGCAGCGTTGACGGGGTGGCAGCCATGTTGGTGGGGACAGTGCTGGGAGACAGCGGGTGTGGGGTGATGCTCCTCTCTCTGCTTCTTGTCCAGCCCTTTGTCTCAGGCCTCTAGTCCCTGTGCTGACCTGGGCCCCAACAGCATGCTATTTGGCTTGGGGTCAGAGGGCAAGGGCTGGGGGGAGGGCTCAGGCACCAAGGGTCAGGGTGCTGGTCCCCGGCTGCTCTGCAGGGGTCCTTGCTGGGTTCCCTCCACTCCTCTCAGCCCATCCACTACTGTCCCTTCCTTGAGTTCATCCACACCCACCAGGACTAGTTTTTACTGGTCACCAGTGAGAATCCCTCTGCCCCCGCCTTCCCAGGAGATGTGCGTCTGGACTGTTAGCCTGTGTAGACGCCGCAGGTGTGCATGGGGGTGTGGGGGCACGGGGGCCTGTGCCCGAGAGCAGTAGAGCCGTGGGGGCGGGTGAGAACCGAGGTCCAGGCTGTAATCCAGGAGCTGTGATTAGCGGCTGAGCCTCAGTACCAAGAGGTAGAGACGGGTGGGAGAGAGGAGGTATGGGGGATGGCGGGTCCATGCCTCCTCAGTCCTGGCCGGGCTGGGTGCTGGAGTTAGGTTCTAAGGGGGCGTTTCTAATTCCTCACCTAGTCTGTGACTTTGTAATTGGGCCAGAAGACACACAAAGAACTTGAGAAACAAGGAGAGGCCAGCATGTGTTTGACTGGCAGCCGGTGCAGGCTCTGTCTCCTCTCTCCGAGGCCAGCCCCACGGCTTGGTGATGTTGTCACAGGTGGTGGTCTGGGCGCTGCTGCCCGCCGTGTCCTTAGTGTCACTTGGTGTCCTTAGTGGCACCTGGTGCCCTGGAAGGTGCACCCTTGCCTGTGTGCTGGCAGGGGTCTCGGAGCTCTGGAATCCCGGAGGCCAAGGGCCTCCTGCTCTGTAAAGTGGGGTGTGCGAACCTCCTGGGCCGCTGTGATCACAGGGGGTGTGGAGGTGCCATGCCCGCAGGGCCCGGCAGACCTCTGCTCCCTGGTCGCTCCCGTGCTCTTCCCAACGGACAGTGAGGCCCGCTTGCTCCCTCCTCCGAGACCAGAGTGCTGCCCCTGCGCCCAGCCTCGCAGCCGCCCCCTTGCACACAGCCATCTGCCTCCCTGGGGCACGCTGGACCCTGAGCGTGGTCACTTGGCCCCGCTCTGGAGTGGCCCGTTCACTGCCAGCCCTCCAGCCCCGGCGTGGGTCTCCACGCCGTGTCCCCGTGTCGGCGCTAGTGCGTTCGGCTGAGGTCAGTCCACCTCACGGGGCAGGGGAGTGAGCCGCACGCTCCTCACAGCCCTGCCCTCTGCCTGTCCGCTCTTCGCTGTCCAGCGGCTCTCCTGTGGGAGCTTGTTTCCCTGGGGCCCCGGCAGGGGCGGGGCAGGAGCCCGGGCAGAGGCTCCCGGCCTGGCCTCGCGGTTCTGTCCAGACATGTCCTCTGTACGAGGCCTACGAAGGCTGCCTGCCCACCCCGCCCATGCGACCTGCCTCAGACTCCCACTTCCCCGGTTCCTGAGCGCGTGTGGAAGGTGGGTAGCACTGCCCCGGTGGGAGCGCCGCGGGCCCCTCAGCCCCCGTACTGCTCCCTGCTGGACCCCCTGTGGCCGGGCCCAGGCTTGGGCCCGGGCGCAGAGCCTTCCCTCCTAAAGCCTGTGCGACGCTGTCATCTGGAGAGTGCAGGACCACTTCTCCGGGAGCACGGGGTCGCCTGGCCGGTGCCTGCACACCCACGCCTCGCCTGTGGCAGACACCGCCAATCCATCACAGCACCATTAGCCACTAAAGGGCATGAAGCGGCCTCGGCATCCTCAAGTGGCCCTGTGTACCCACCTGGCCGGGGCAGGAGCCTATCTTCCTCCCTGCCCCGGCGGCAGGCTCCTGGCTGCTCCCACCTTCCCCCTGGGCGGCCCGTCTCCCATCCCCGGTACAGCAGGGTTGTCCTCCTGAAGTGGGGTGCTGTCCCTATTCCCGGCCCTTCCCCACTCCTCCCCAGTGCCCACAGCACAGGCCCAGTGACCCTGCTTCAGGCCTGCAGGCCCCTCCTCTGCCTCCTCTCGCCTGGTCCTCTAGGTGCTCTGAGCTGCCTGCTGCTCTGGAAGGCTGAGGGCCCCGATGTGCTGGTGCCTGTGCCCCAGCTGCTCCCTCCTTCCATCCTCTGCCTTGCCCACATGTGGCTCAGGGTCCTGTGACCCCCCACCTTGGTGGGGCAGACATTTACCCTGGTGTCGCCTGGGTGAACATGCCTAAGGGGGTTCACTGAACGGCTGTGACAGACGTGTGTCTCGATGTCAGGTCCACTCTGGGGCTGCCTGCGTTCTGTGTGTTCGTTCCAGGCACCACAGGCTGGTCCTGGCCGCCGGCCGGGGGTGCTCCCAGTGAACCTCTTACGGCCACGTGCCAGGATTTGGGATTTATCTCTCTTCTCCTTCTGGGTCCACCGGTTGTGGCTCTCCGTACTTGAAGCTATGGTGACGGGTGTATGAGATTTAGAATGGGGATGCTCTCCCAGGGTATTACCCCGTTAGCTCCGTTCACCGTGTATCCGTCAGCTGGACGTGACCAGGGACCCTCCTGGGTAGAGAGGGGGGCTGGACACCAGTGACTGGCCAGGTTATACAGAATCCTGCAGCTGCTTGTGCTGGTCTCAAAGGTGAGAGGAAGTCCCAGGTTTCCCTGCAGAGGCCTGGCTATGAGGGCGGAGCCGCTGGGCGTGCTAGGACCTGCCCAGGACCTGCCCCTCGCTGGGGTCACTCGTGTGGGACCCCCCACACACCCTGTGTCCCATTTGCATGGGAGGCTGGCAGTGTCTGGGGAACGGCCTGCCCCGGGCCCTGAGCCTGTGCTGGGCGGACCCCAGCAGGCTGTGAGGAGACGCTGCTGTAACCCCACTCGACAGCGAGGAGGCCACGGCCCCAGCCCAGTGGGGCACTGGGTTTCACCCAAGCTTGTCCGACTCTGGAGCCGAGAGGTGCCCCCTCTTCCCCTGGCTTGTCCTGCAACTGGGGTGCCGTGGGACCCCAGGCACCCCATCCTTTGGTCGGGCCCTCAGCGGGATGTGGGGAGCTGCCCAGCCTCAGGTGGCGCTGTGGTGGGGCAGAGCCTGCTGCGGGTCAGCGCCCCCAGTGGTCTGTGTGTGCGGGGCAGGCTGGGGGCTCCCTGTGCCGACCACAGAGAGTCACGTGGGTCCCCCTTCCGCCGTCCGGCCTGCTGTTGCTGCAGGTGCCTCTGGGACCTGGGGAAAGGAAGGGCAGCTTGCTGAGCACACCGGGCGCAGACCCTGTGACTTAGCGTGTCGCCCACTGCGTGTTCGCTTCTCTCCCTGCAGTGGGCAGATAATGGCGGGCGCCTGCGGCAGATGTGGGAG